ATTTTCACCCAGAAGTGAAGAGAATGTGGTCTGTAAATTTTTTTAAATGTGTAAAACTCTATTTGAAAAACACAAATTTAAAAATAAATAGCATAAGAAAAAAAAATCTGAAGTGCTTTAAATGTTAAAAAAAGTGAAAAAAAATGTATTGATTTTTTTCAAAACATAATATTTGAGAAAATAGTTTTTTGACTAACATATTTTAAATTGGTACTTCTGGATTGCATTTAACTTTATTCTTATTTCCAAAATGTGTTATTTGCTTTCAACAATGGGACAAAATTCACTCCATAAATTTGACCTCATCAAACCAACCTGATATAGGACCGGTTCAAACGAGTCTTAAAAAAAAAAAAGAGGTTTGCTTTGATGCTGCTAACTTCAGATGGGTCTACAGACCACCTACCCAGACCATGTGGTGAACCGTGTAGACGTCGCTGTCTCCCATGTACACCCTGATGGCTCGCAGGGCAAAGCCAAACCTCCTGCCCGAGCTGTGGATGACCACCGGGGGCCTGAGGCAGCTGACGCTGACGGGCAGGTCCCGGCTGGGGGACGAGTCCCGGGACGAGGGGTTGGACGACAGGGACAGAGATGATTTGGGACTCAAAGGAGGAACTGCTGAGTCGTCTGGTGTCAGAAGGCAGGAAGTATTTAGAGTTAAACAATCTGCTCTTATTTGTGCCGTTGAACAAAGCTGCATCTGGGTCTCACCTGGGGTGATGATGAGGGACAGACCGGAGACTGAAGCAGACTTGGGGACGTTGCCAGACGGGGATCTGGGTTTCTCTGGGGTCTCCAGTTGGTGAGCGATCCGCCGGGACGCCCCTCTGCGGAACGACGGCCTGGTGCCCGTGCTGTTGCTGCGCAGTCGGATCCGCCTCAGGTTGGAAACGATCCCGTCTGTAAGTCAGGGTTCAGAGTGAGCGCATGTTCTCGTGTCGAGCGTGAAGTAACGACGGACAAACAGCTTTACCTTCCTCCTCAGCGGGGATGGCGAAGCGAGCCGTGACATCCAGGCTCTGGGTGCTGCTCATCACCAGCGGGCCGCTGCCGCCGCGCTCTGGGTGCGACGGGCTGGAGGAGGCACGTGGACGAAGGCTGCGAGAGGGAAAAAAAAAGACACGTTAAAAATGAATCACTGGTTTTATTTAGACATTTAACCCAGAATCGGCCCGTCTACAAGATCAATACGTCCTTTTGTAAAGATACTCTTCTTCTCCACGTAAATATCACATATTATTGAGCTTAACCTTTCTTGTTTCTGCTAAACTAGTTTCCTAAAGAGACAGAGAGACTGAAGTTCTTCCTAAAAACAAGACTTATTTCTCTTTAAAAAGAGCATCGATGGGAATGAGGCATATAAGGCAGACGCACACACTCGCACATCAACCATCCATCCATGTTCTTCCGCTTTATCCGGGGCCGGGTCTCTGAGGCAGCAGTCTAAGCTGTGATTTCCAGACTTCCCGATCCACTCCAGCGGCTCTGGGGGGGCCCCGAGGTGACACCAGGCCAGCTCAGAGACATAGTCCCTCCAGCGTGTCCTGGTCCTTCCATGAGCCCTTTTCCCAATAGGACAAGCTTGGAACAGCTCCTAAGGGAGGCGACCAGGAGGCATCTGGAACAGCCACCTCAGCTGACTCCTTTCAACGTGGAGGAGCAACGACTTCGAGCTCCTCCCGGGTAAACTGAGCTCCTAAACCGATCTCGAAGGCTGCGCCCAGCCCACCCTGCGTAGGAAACTCATTTCGATCACAAGACCCTTATGGACAGAATCAAATCCAGGACCGTGACGTCTTCTGGTATGGCGAAGCCAAGGCCCCACCCTGGAGCCAGGCCTGGGGCCTGCATGGTGGCTGGGCCATGCCCCCGGGGCCCGGCCGGGTTTGGCCTGAACAGACGACGTGGTTCCACCTTCCTGTGGACCCACCACACGCAGAGGGATCCGTAGGGGTCAGATGCAGCGAGGACCGGGTGGTGGTCGAGGGGGAAAGAAGTAGAAAAGTTGCACTCCACCTATAAAAACCTCATTCACTGAAAAATAATAATATCCCTGCGTTATAGATTGTTAAAGGCCTCGCATCAAAAAATACTGCATAAAATCAGTGCAATGCAATACCTCGGCTCCAGACGTCCCGCCCCCTCCCCAGACGCTCCGCTGCACCTCTCCCAAATTGTAGCTGACGGCAGACAGTGCCGCAGACAGGAGGCCGGCTTGTTTTGTTTTTATGACCGAAATTGCGGAAAACAACTCGTGAAGTTTGACCCGCTAGAAGAGCGAGGTGCGCGAGAACGCTGGGACCCTTTTTCCACCTGGATCTCTGCTCTTTTTGCCCCTCATGTCCCTCCGTCGTCGGACTAAACTCGCCCGCACTTCCTCGCCGCCTCTGCCGTATCTAGACCCACAGCTTGTAGCACA